GGGCCTTGCTAACTTCCTGAGGCTGGCTTTGAACTTGCACTCCTCCTGCCTCAGCAATCCAAGTCACTGGGATTACAGGTGCCTGCCACCGCGCCCGCTTGCCTGGACTCTTATATTAACATCCTCATTCACCCTCCTGCCTCATTTTCTGCCCTCCCTACCCTCTACTCCATACCACCTCTAGGTCCTAGGACATATCTCTGGCCATGCCAACCTCCARTGCACATAGAAAAGGTCAGACTCCATAGCATAATGGTCAAGTTTCTTTCAATCCTGTTGCCTACTCCTTCTTTGCACACGCCTTTTGTTCCAGCCAAGCTGGCACATCCACGCTACTTCTGCCTCTGCACCTTCTGTATGTCTCACTGTCTGCCTGGAATGTTGTATTTCTCCTGTGCCCATCTCTACCCATCCCTCCAACTGTGGCTCACATGCTGCCTCTCCCATGACAGGAAACTGTCCCTGATCTCTCAGTTGGAGGTCACTTCTCCCTTCTTAGAGCACAGTGCCCCTTAAATGGCATGGACCCTCATGTACCTGCACTAGAGATGTGCATATATGTGTTGTGGGCTAGGAATGTAAGCTCTGCAGTCAGCCCGACCAGGTATGAATCCAACTGCAACACTTATCAGCTCTGGACAAGTCACTTAGCCTCCTCATGTCTATTTTCTCATTTTAAAAATAGGAATAATGAAAATACAGCTTCTTAGTGTTGCTTTAGCAATTAAATAACAACATATGATACGCCTGGTATATCCAGGTTAACAACAACATATGGTATTATCTTTTCTATTAAATTGTAGGTTGTCTGAAGACAGGATCTGTTTATATTTGTAATCATAACATTAGTGCCTGGTTAGTGCCTGAAATGTATACAAGCTCAATAAAAATGTTCTGTGAATGTCTCTAACTCAAACCAGTCTGATCAACCCAACATCAAGAGTTTACTAAGTGCCTGTAACACATAGGGTTCTGTGCTATGTGCTGAGGGCATACAGTTGGGGAAGTACTTTAATATTCTGCTATTTAATCTTCATAGTAGCTGTATAAGGTAGTTTTTTTAAATCTTTTTTTAAAGTTGTCAATGGACCTTTATTTTATTTGCTTGCTTGCTTGCTTATCTATCTATCTATCTATCTATCTATCTATCTATCTATTTATTTATATGCAGTGCTGAGGATCAAACTCAGGGCCTCACACATGCCAGGCAAGTACTCTACCACTCAGCCAAAACCCCAGCCCAAGGTAGGTATTTTTAAAAGCCCATTTTAAAGATAAGAAGACTAAAGTTCAGAGAGGTTAAGTAATATTCCATGGTCACACAGAGTCAGGATTTGAGTTCAAGTTGGCCTGACTTCAAATCCTATGCTCCATGTTCTTCCAACTAACCCCAGTCTAACTGGTCCAAAAGTCCTCTTATCCCTATCTTTAAAGATCAAGCACACTGCAAAATGAGATCCTTTTCCAACAATTTCGGGAAATTTGCTCTTTTGTTCCAAGAGCTGAAAGCTGCTCCTACTGTAACTCCTCCCTTCCCTTCTTTTCTCCTCATATTGCCTTTAGGTCCTGGTCCTTAACCTTACACCAGAAACTTCTGAACTTGTAGCCACTAGAGACTAAAGAATTGCCTTCTGGGGAAAGGAGGGTGCCCTAGGAGGACTTTCTCACCTGAAAGAAGTCCCTCTGCTGCTTCCCCATGTCTCAACCAGGGTGGACATTCCAGAAGATGGCCTCCTCCAACCTCCCCCTCCTCTAGGTAGCCTTTCCCAGCCTGGCCTGATCATTCAGCCTTTGTGCATTCTGTTTGTTCCACATTGATCTGAACCCACAGGAATGCCCTGTGAGCAGCTTACATTTGCTTCCTCTGTGTGTCTGCATCTCCCCCATTTGTTGGAAGTCCACTGGGAGCTATGTGTAAGGAACAGCTGGTCCCAAGGCCTTGTGCTCAGGCAGGGCCCCTCTTTGGCGGCTGGAAGGGGGAAGAGATGTGCTCCCTGCTGGGTCTTTGCAGCCCCAATTCCCTCAGCTTAATGAAGAAGTGTGTCAGCTGCTACTACTTCTCCAGGCACATTTCATCCCTGAAACTTGACCCCCCCCCCCCTTCCAGGCAGGGAGGAAGGGCCAGTTCTCTAGCCATCAACTTAATTGAGCCAGGATCCCCGAATTCTCAGCCCCCCACCCCCAGTGCTCACTTGTTACAATGCAAATTTTCTGCTTCAGTGAATTGGAAATTTGTGCTACTGAAAATCTAGATTGTATTATCTAGATTTTCTGGGGCAAAGATAGGGCCAAGATGTAGGAGGGGAGCACAGAATCTACTAGAAAAAGATAATGTCATGCCCGGTTAATGTTTCTTTTTGCAGCAGGTTTATCCCACAGTGTCTCCAGGACTTATGATCTTGGAGTGAAATAATTAGTGAAATAAATGAATGTGGAAGTTGAACAGTTTTACTGCAAGAGGACATTCCTGGTCACAAACCAACTGGGGAGATCCAGGCAATGCACAGTCCTCCTGGGAGGCAAGGGAGAGCCTCCCTTGGGTGACCCATCTGCAGGGCAAAAGTTTCCAGCTTGTGATGTAAGTCAACTTATGCATTTCCCACCCCATTGCAGCCAATAAGTCCCTAACCTAGCCACAGTCAAGCTGCATGGAATTCAGTCCCTCCAGACCTTAGAAGAAGGCAGCCAAAGGGCTGACCTTGGACTAACTCAGCTCCCGGTTTTTCCCATTGGTGATACTGAGGCACTAAGATTTGACCCTTGCTACTTAAACTGAGATGTCAGGGAGTGAGACTCAAGTATCTGTGCCTTGTCACTCTGCTCTGTCTCCTTTACAAGCAGGCTGGCATCAGGGAGGGGTGGAGCACCATGGGGGGTGGGGTGCAGAGCTCTCCCATCTGAGTGTCATTCTGGGCCCCAGGCCAGGAATTTGGCTTCCTTTCCAAGAGAGTCAAAGGCTGGAGCTGCTCAGACAAAGGGCCAAATAAAAGCTGATGGGGAGCTGGGTGACTTCAGCCTCTCCCCTTCCTTCTCCCAGGCGCTGGGGGCTCAAGGCCTTGGCAGGAGAGGGTGCAAATCAAGATCTGGAGTTCGGCTCAGTTCAGAGTCTTTTTTTTTTTTTTTTTTTAATTCTCCTGGCATCCACAGACTGTCTTCCTCCCCTCACCACCTCCCACCTAGGGTGCTGGAAAATATGCAAATCAGTAGGATTTTAAAATTCAAGCCCATGCCAGGAACACCCACAAACCCTCCATTAAGGCAGATCCTGGTGTGGGTGGTATAGTCTCTGATTCCAAGCACAAAGAGGATTCTATTAGATTCTTTTCTTGGCATGGGCCTTGGACCCCAGACATTATCTGTGATGATCTTGACCTCCCTTTCTGGTTCTGGACATATGAACAGGGAATATGAAAATTGTGTATGTGTGGGCTAGGACCACCCTCCTAAACTGGTAGTAATGTGCGAAAAAACTAGTGAGGGAACTAGTATAGGTTCACAAGATCAGAATGAATACTCTGCTCTGGGCTAGGAACTTTCACATCTGAGTGTCAGCACAAAAAAAGATCATCAATCTGAGAAGGCAGGCAGAAAGAGTGTCAGGGCAACTTGGTCAGGAAGTATCAATGAGAACACCTGCTCCTTCAAGTTCAATTCCCCTGACCCCCCCCCCCCCCCCCCCCCCCCCCCCCCCCCCCCCCCCCCCCCCCCCCCCCCCCCCCCGCCCCCCAACCATCGCTGCCACCACCACCACCAAGGCTGTTCTTAATACACTGCCAAGTTCCCTCCCAAGCAGGAAGACTTAGCCCTTTGTAGGCAGAAGTGGGAAGGTTGTCAGGAAATCTGGAGAGCCATAAGCTGGCATTTTCTGGATACAGGTCTGCCATTGTGCACCTGGGTGCCCCTGGCTCTGAACAGTAAGAAGAGGAGGGGAGCAAAATAAGACAAAAGAGTCAACACCAAAAGAGACAGACTAAAAGAGACACACAGAGGTCCAAGCAAAGACACCACAGGGAGCCTGCTAGAAGAAGTGAAGGGCAGGCCATTCTGGGTGTAAATGCCTGAATTCTGGTGGTTGAAGGAATAATAAAGGTAGAAGGTATGTGTGGCGGAGGGGGTGGGAGTGGGTGGTAGGTGAAGTCACTGAGAATCAACCTGGCCTCCCTAACATAGCTTTAGCAATCAACGCCCCTAGTTGGGTGATTCACCCCCCGCCCCTCCAGACTAAGCTGCTTCTCCCAGCCCCAGCACCCCGGGTCTCCGCACGCTCCCTGCACACTCCCCAAGTCCAGACCTGACATCTGGCGGGGCCCGGGCAACTCCCGCTCGCTATCTGCCAGGCGGCGCCCCTCCTCCCTTGCAGGCCCTCCCCCGTCATTACAGCTGCCAGCCCCCTCCCTGCTGGCAGACAAGCCCAGGCAGACAGCCCGCCAAGCCTACCCCCGCAGCCGCGCCAGCTCTGCCAAGCCAGGCAGAGTTAGGGGCTCGGGGCGGCGTCAGCTCCCCTCTAGCGAGCGGTCCCAGGTGACCTCCTACCCGGGGCGGGGATCCGGTTCGCGCACCCTTCCGTCCCCGCCTGTCCGAGTGCTCCAGGCACAGCGCAGCCCTAGCACCTAGGCGCTGGCGTCCAGCTGCCTGGGCCTGTCGCTCCCGCGCCTTCGGGGTCGGCGGAGCCAGAGCCTCACTCACTCCGTCTGCCCAACTAGCAGTATCCGTTTTTCTCCCTTGTTTTTTCTCCCCATGTCACATTTTAACCTGGTCGGTTGCTCTCAGTCACTTCTTGTCTCATCGCAAATCTTTCCCGTAAGTTTTCTTGTGGCCCTTTCCTCTGAAGACAGGCCCTACCTTCTGCCTGCCAGTCCTCGACCCCTCATCTCCTGTCTGGCCTTGATTGCCCTGGCACGCGCCTGGGCACGTCCTGGCTCCCCGGACCCAGGCAAGGGCCAGGTACCCATCAGAGCAGAGAAGCCCTCCTTGCCCCCAGCGACAGCTCCTGATCTTACCAGCTCCTGTTTGAGGCGACGCAAATAGCAGTCCATTTCCCCGCTCTCCTTCCTTAAGCGCCCATTTGCCGGCAAGACTCTACGAGAGTTCCCAAGCAGGAACACCGACCCCTGTGAAAACCGCGCGCTCGGCGTTTCTTCGCCCCTGAGCTCCGCGCCTCTTGCAATGGGGAGCAGATCCTCTCTTCCAACGCTGGGACTTGGAGCAGCTTACCCCGCTGCTCGCTGCGCGCGGCCGGGGCTCGGGGAGGAGGGAAAAGTGCGGCAGCCAATGAGAACTCAGGGGAAATGTCTTCGGCCAATGAGAAGAGCGGCCCCCAGGGTGGTGGGGTGAGGCGCGGGCTAGGCCGCAGCGCAAGAGCTGAACCCCTAATGTGTGCCGGGGTCAGTGGGTACAGGTGGGTGTCACCTGGTCCTGGCCATCGTGGCAGGAGACATCGTAACCCCAGGCTGTGCCAACGTCCCCAACAAAACACGCGACGCCCTATTTGGTTATAAAGGGAGTGCGCAGTTTTATGGGTGGGAAATTGAGTAGCTGTCTCAGTAAGGGACAAAAGTGCCACAGTGAGGTAACCTTATCCAAATTCCAATCGGAGAAAAACACCCCAACCCCTCCCAGACATCCCTCAGAATCTCTTCTTTCCGAAGAGGACCCTGAGAGTATGGCTCCACTTTTGTCTCTCCTAGTATAGGGTCCGCTCAGCCCACTCCTCACCTGCAGAGCCGACTGGCCGCCGCTCGGTCCATTCTCTTATTTAACACGAAGTAATGGAGAGGGCTGTGCTCCCGGCAAGGTTGTGGGTCTGGGGATACTGAGTAAGACAGGCTAAGTCTCTGCTTTCAAGAACTTATAACGGAGGACGGAGGGAGAAGGGAAGATAACGGGTAAAAAGAAAAAAAAATTAAATGTGTTAACTTCAGAAAGTGATTTTTAATGAAAACATAAAAACGGGGATAGTGGGACTGGGACCCGACTGAGGTGGAGGTACTGGAGTTGACATGAGCCACCGCATCCGGGTCTACGGGGTCTGCTTTCAAGAAGGTGGATAGGGAAACAGGCCTTCCCCCAGTGACGGCCTTTGTAAGGTTGGGGAAGGGAGGAGAAATTCCAAGACGCTCCAGTTCTAGTCGACAGGCCCCTGGGCACCTGAGGCGTGCGAAGTCCAACCTGACCCTCGGGTATGGGGTTGACGCGGACCGGCTCCAGAGGGGTGACAGGGCGCTCCTCCCAGCGGAACCCGAGACTCTCCACGTAGACCCTAGCACTCGACAGSGCTGACATTGTTCCCCTACCGAGGCACGGCAAAAACCCTCCGGGCCCACCGGCAAGGTGCACAGAGCCTGAGAGTAATTAAGACAATTAGCGGCCTATTGCTTCGAAGTAATTAACGGGGGAAGTTTGCCTCTGGCAGGATATTTGGACTCCGCACGGGACAGAAGCGCTAAGTACGCGAGGGAGCGAGGGAAGGCGTGAAGAGAGAACTCAGGCGCTGCAGGTCATTTGCCTCTGTGTCACTTCTGCTAACAATTGAAAAAAGGTGGAGAAAAACAGAGCAAGAGGGGCAGAACCAGGTCCAAAACCTGCGTCTCTGGAACCCAAGCGCCTGCGCTCTGCTCTGCTCACTCTCTTCGCTGTTACTGCTCTGGAAGCTGGCTGTCAGAAAACGAGATGGCAGCAGAATGGAATTGCAAATCTGATTGGGCATTTCCAGTGCCCGCTGGAGGAGCCTAAAATCACTTTCCTTTGCTCTCCGGTCAGGTCTTGAATCTGCCACAGAAGGCAGAGCAGCATCGGCCCTAGGCCCTTGGGCTTCCTTGTAGTTGTGAGCAAAAATTTTCCAAGGGATCACTTTCCTTGTGATCCACAGGGTGTTCAGAGTGGGTCATTTCCAGGGACACAGCTATGGTTTCTGGTCCAATGGCACAAATTCTGGAATTTAATACTCTGGAATAGAAAGGAGAACTTTTGTAGTTGAAATCTAATCCATGCAGGGACCCTTACTCAAAAGGGTTCCCCAATCTGCAGGGCCTTGCTTTGCTCACTTTGATCTCCAGCCTCCAGCATAGACACTGAAATGTCACTGAAATGGTCTTTAGAGTCAAGTTAGCTCTGGTTTTCTCCATACTTGAAACCATTTGGGCCTGAATCCTCTTAGAAGTTAGGAAGCTGGTTGTAGTTAAAACCCCAAGAGAAGCAGGCCGATCTCTTGGAAAGAACCTAAAACTGGGTAGTTAGATCTTCTATAGTTTTGACAACACAGTGCCTTGTGCCCAGGCTGTCCTTTTTTGAGGGCCTCAGTTTCCTTCACTTATAATTTAAACCTATGTGAATCTAATACTTCATACTCCTTACAAAACTCTCTTCTGACAACCATCTGTCAGGACAAGAGGGATATTTAGCCCATGATACAGAAGAAGACTATATTGTTAGCAAAGGCAGCCCACGTTCCAGCRTAAAGAAGGTAAAGAAGTTGGAAAGAAAAATAATTGATAACCTATCTCGGTACAGAGCTTAAAAGAGAGGTCCCAGACAAGTCAGAGATACTTATATTGCTGTACAGTTCCCACAGGACTTTGGAAGACAATGTCTGTTGGCTCTGAAGTCCTTTCATGATGCTGGGTCATTGCAATCCCTAAGAAGGCCAATATTACCCCAGGGGTGTATGAGGGTCTCTCCCTCTCACCTTGTTTCTAAAGAGGTAGTTCTTCTTTGGCAGAACATATGGCAAAGTGGTTAAAAGAGCTGCCTTTCACTGTTTCTTTCTTTTTTTTTTTTTCTTTTTTTAAAAAAGGGTTTAAGTGAGAGAATAAAGACTGTTGCCATGGTTATATAAACATGGGTAAATATTCCTGGGTTGGGGATGGGGGTTGGGGTACGTGATTCATTTTTGCTGAAGAGGAATGTGATGGCTCTGCCTCCACACTCCCAGCCCCTGAAACTCAGCCTGGAGGGAGAATGGATTATCTAATTTGAAAATAAATAATAAATTAGAGGTTTTGAGATTGATTGTGAGCATACTTTCTCAAAGTCATCCAGAGCTAGACTGGATCCTTCATAATGTACCTGGGCATTTGTCCCCAGCTAGTGGAGACAAATGGATAGTGGAGCTGGGCATGGTGGTGCATACCTATAATCCAGTGACTCAGGAAGCTGAGATGGGAGGATCACAAGTTCTGAGGCCAACCTTAGCAATTTAGATGGTCTCAAAATTTAAAAAAAGGGGGGGGGGACTGGGGATGTAGCTCAGTGCCCCTCAGTTCAATCCCCAGTGCCAAAAATTTAAATAAAAAAATTTAAAACCTGGGTAGTGGGTATTTTTCCTGAGGGGTATAGCTCTTGGAACTGTATCCAAGTAAATGTCAAACACTTGGGATTTATGCCCAGCTTAGTCAGGAAGGGTGGTCCCCTCTGTTGGACTGCCAGAGCCTGAAGGTCCTGGCACCTATGCATGAGCTCAAAGGGAGAGGCAGAACCAGGTGTGTCCCAACAGAGCTTAGATCCTGAACCAAACATTGGAAACACTGCCATTCTCCTGCTTCCAGGAGATTGGCCCCTACCTGAAGGTTCCCACACACCAAGTTTTGGCCAGCTCTAGAAGACACACCCTTGGGTGACGTGGTGTCCCAACTTCTCATCTCTACTGGCAACAAAAGACCTGGGAGCTCATCCCTATACAAGGAAAGAAAATGTGACCACACAGAGTCTGGAAACCTCAATGTAACAGCACTCTCCCAAGGGTAGGGTCCCACACCCCATTAACCTTTCACCCCCTGTGGCTGTCAACAACCATTATTCCCCATCCCGTTTCCCCTCCCCCATGCCTCCTGAGCATCAACAGGAAAGGCTGACCCTGGAGATAAACACATGTTGTTGGAATGTGTTCAGATTTCACTGCAGAACTGCATCTCTCCAGGGAGAGGACCTGCCTGACAAGCTGGCCAAGAGGTGCTGAGCAGAGACTGTGTACTGTGTGTGAATGCAAGGGGGCTGTGGAGAAATAACTATACCTGCTATTCTTATGGAAGACTCTAACTCCTGACTTGCATGACATATTCCCCTGTCCACTTCAGATAGAGAACTGGGCTCCTCTGCCCCTTATGAGCCCAACATCATGAAGGGCAGCAGAGAGGATAAAGTGGCCTCTGTGTTGGGGAAACCCCTCAGTTCCAAAAGAAACATTCATTTTTGTGGAGGGAACCCTTATGATGATAGACTCAAAGCTCTTGTCAAATCTCCATGAGTGGTAAGTGTTTTCAAAGAGTGTTATTCCCTCAATTTGTAAATGGCACAACTGAGGCCCAAAGAGGCTGGTGTGTGTGCAGAGGGAATAGGGTGTTCTAGTTTCCGGGATAGTGCTTTCTACTATTCTACTCTGTAGAAAAGCAGGAAGGATGTACCCTATAGTAGCACCTTGTGATGAGAGCCATTGAGGAGGTGAGTTCTGGTGGAATCACCAACACTTTCACCCTTTGTGCTGACTTACACCACTGCTCTCACAGACTGAACTTCTTCACAAAGTAACTGGGCTTTAAGATCTGGTTATCAATTCTTCAGGAGCTAACATTTTTGAAGGGGGACAAAAGGAATATGGTGGAGGAAGAAACAGTAATACAGTATTTTGAATAAGGTTTATGTATGATCTCTTACATGAACAATTCAGTGGGAATTTTGAGTGCAAAATTAGATTAGTTTAGGGCTGGGGATATAGCTCAGTTGGTAGAGTGCTTGCTTCAAATGCACAAGGCCCTGAGTTCAAATAGATTAGTTTAAATAATAAGAATTTTAGTCTGTGGGCTGATATTCATCCTTATATGGAATTATTTGCAGCTATAGGTTTGGATCTTATGGTGCCTAAGCAATGGCCTCATCGCTCCATGGAAAGCAAATATTTCCATTTTGCAAACATTTGGTGGAAAGCAAATATTAACTACAAAGAACACCTGAAGAATATCAGGGCACAGCTAAGGGAAATACAGTATTTGTGCAAACTAATGCTGGTAGATGCAAACTGGACTAAGAAATGGCTCGCTTCCAGGAAACTACTGGGGACATTCTGCAATGTCTGACTCCCTAGAGACCCAGCATTGGGTCTCTGTAATCTTCCTGTAATCTTACCATGGCCTGTAACCCACAGAAAAGTCTTGTTTCATTACCTATTATTTGGCCCATTCCACCAGCTGTATGCAAGGACCAGGGACAGACAG